CCCGTAATGATTTTCTAGAAAGGGATCTCACGCCCTGGTGTTGGTCGTTGATTCCCTCGTGTATTTCACATTGGATGTGGGCTATTTTGTTTTCTTCGACACATTTAAGGAGGGGGATGTAGAATCCCCTTCTATACAATCTTCCTTCGACCAGAACATAGGAACAGGCTCTTCGCCTGACTATGCTGGCCTCCTTCTGATCGGTCAGAAGTTCCCCTTTCATAAGGTAGTTATATACCAAGGTCATCCAACAGTTATTGTCATTAATGGTGCATACATCTAGAGTCGAGGGGAGTTTTTAAATGCTCGGTCGAGGAATTATTTCATGTATTACTGATTTGTTTCCTCCTTTCTTCTTTGTGCTTGCCAGTTTTGACTGGATATTTTCCCTAGTGTTGTGTTCGCGGGGAATGTGTCGTACATCTACGGACTTGAATTTCTTCATTACTTCTTGGACCAAAGTACAGTATTCGGAGAGATGGCCTTTTTTGACATGATATTCTCCCTGCACCTAAGATGAAACGAGTTGGGAATCTGTGAAGATTTTCACTTCTTCGGCCCCTAAATCTTCGGCCAGGCGTAGCTCTGCTAGGAATTCTTCGTATCCGGTTTGGTTTTTTGAGGTCGGAAAAGATAGTGTGAGGGAGACTTCAATAAAGATTCCTTCCTTGTTCTCTAGTATAATTCCACCCGCTCCTTGTCTAACTGGAAGCCCCATTGACGGAGATGGTCCAACTGCACGCTCCGCTTGTCGGAGAGGTTAACAAGATCATTTCTACCATGAAGTCGGCCAATACCTTAGCTTAGAGGGATTTTCTTCTTTCATATCTGATGCCAAACTCAGAGAGTTCTAACGACTATTTTAGCATCCTGCCTGCCATGTCTGGTCGACTGAGTAGTTGCTTTATTGGTTGCTCTGCCCAGACTACAAACGTATGTGCCAGGAAATAGTGTCTTAGCCTTATTGCCGCGTTAATAAGCGATAAGGATACTTTCTCGATCTGTTGATACTTAACTTCAGGGCCTTGTAAGGCCTTGCTCGTGAAATAGATGGGTTTATGCCCCTTGGGGGTTTCTCGGATGAGGGCAACGCTCACGACCTCGGATGCTATGGCCAGATAGAGGTAGAGAATTTCTTTCTTATCTGTTCACGAAAGGACGGGTGATTACGATAATTCCTGTTTGAGGTGGATGAGGGCATGCTCACGCTCCTCGGTCCACTCAAAGGCTACCTATTTGCGGAGGAGTTTGAAGAGAGGAAGCGCGTGTTGGGCAGATTTTGCCACAAAACGAGATAACGAAGTAAGCATTCCGTTTAGGATTTGAATTGATTTCTTCGAGTTTGGCGTTGGAAATTCAGAAAATGCCCGACATTTGTCGGGGTTGGCTTCGATTCTCTATTGGTAGAAACCGAGGAATTTTCCTTCCCGCATGCTGAAGGTGCATTTTTTTGGGTTGAATCACATTTTGTATTTCCTTGCATGGTCGAAGACTTTCTTTAGGTGGAGAGCAAGTTCGGTCTCTTATTTGGACTTGGCGATCATGTCATCCATTTAGACCTCAAGCATGTCTCCTATTTCTCCTCGGAAGACCTTGTTCATCATTTGATGGTATATAGCCCCGATAATCTTCAGACCGAAGGACATTACGTTGTAGTAATAGTTGCTCGACTTAGTCATGAAGGTCGTATACTTCTTGTCCCTCTTTTCTATGAGGATCTGGTTGTATTCAGAATACGCATCCATGAACGACATTAATTTAAAACCTGCAGAATTATCAACTAATTTATATATATTGAGCAGGGGATAAGCATCTTTGGGACAAACCCTGTTGAGATCGATATAGTCAATGCACATGCGCCATTTTCTATTATTCTTTTTCACAACCACTACATTACAAATCCAGTATGTATACCGGGCTTTAGAAATAAAATTTCCCTCTAGGAGGTCTTTAACAACTTGCCCGACGACATCGATTTTTTCTGGGGACTTCCGGCGCCTATGCTGAGCAACTACCTTAAGGGCAGGATCTATCATCAGATGATGGCAAGCTATCTTTGAATCCAAGTCGGGAATTTCTGCTGCGCTCTAGGCAAATAAGTCTACATTTTCTCTTAGGAACGCCTTCAGCTGTTTATCCCCTAGGTTGTGATAAATGTTGCAAATCTACGATGTAGCTTACTATGTTAGTCACAGAGCGTTATTAAGTTATTTTTTAAAACTCGTAATATCTACCCCCTAGGTTGTGGTAGATGTATGAAAATTTGCGATATAATTTATTGTGTTAGTTTCAAAGCGATAATGAGTTATCAAACTTGTGTTATTTACCCCCTAGGTTATGGTAAATATGTGAAATCTATTATATAACTTGTTGCATCAGTCTCGAAGCAAAATAAGTTATGTATTTTCAAAATCACGTTATTTTCCCTCTAGGTTGTGGTAAATACGCGAAATCTGCGATTACTTTTTCTAGGTGTTGACGAGTTCTGCGTCGTAATATCAAGGTCAGTTATGTTCTTGCTCTAGGCATTGGTGAGTTAACTGTGTCATCCTTGCATGCCTACTTTTTGGTTTATCTTACGACTTATCCTTTTTCAAATCTTTTGGTTCAAATTTGGAGTCTTCCATTATTTAATAATCCTTTGATCCGAATGTGCGAGACATTCATATACTCGCATGCTTCAATCGAAGAGTAATTAAATAGGGGCAACTGTCATACCCCAAATTTGTCCGTCCTATTTCTAACAGTCAGATTATTTTTAACTTGGCCTTTATAAATTTTTTGATTTATTTACACTAACATTTTGGATTTTATAAATATTCATTTTCAATCTTTTTTGTCTATTTAAAAATATATAATAGTTTATTTAAAATTATTTATATTTCTTAAATAGCAAAAACTTGCTTATCCTTCATATACTTTCAATTGACTTTCTATTTTAAATAAATAACAAATTGCAGGAGGAAGCTCTCAAACATAATAAGGTCATGCATTCGAATCTCACTTGATGCACCTTGGATATTTTTCTTATTTATTTATTACTAACTTTATTTCCATTTTTAATTATTTTCAAAATCACAAAAATCATGTTTTTTTTTTTATTATTTAAAGACTATTTTCGCTTTCTTTTATTTATTATATTATAAAATATATTTTTATTAAAATTATTATTTTATATAAGAAATAGTCAAAAAAATCTAAAAAATAAATAAAATCCTATTCAGTTTAAATATTTTTCAAATCTATTTTGCATCTGGTCACAAATAAGTTCAGATTCTTAAATTTGTTGGCTAAGATAGAATCATAAACTTTGAGCTTTTTTTGGTGTGGATTATTTCCTTTTTAGAGTGTTTATAACCTAATTTCAAATTTATAAATATGACTCTCTTCAAATAAATCATTAACTCGTATACAATCAAATAAATCATTTAACTTATTATGATTTTCTGTTGTGTGTTGTCAAATGTTTTGAAATTTTTTGGATGGTTGTTGTGGTGACGCCTTAAATTGTCGAATATATATATTTTTATATAAATTTTGGGATTTAGGGTGTTACATTGCCAACCTTAAGATCATAAACTTCTTTGGTGCTTTCCAGATTAGAAGCTTTGTCGGTGACATCGATTGGCATCTCGCCATATCCGACCTATTTCGATTTAGTTCATTGGAGTCCCATCAACCACGAGCTTAGAACTGAATTGGGTTCGTAGGAGTTGGTTGTGGCGACTTTTATTGAGGTGGCATCATCGTCGAGGGCTAACGTATATGAAAATATGATAGAGAGATCACAAAGATAAGGAGTTTATGCATCAAAGGGAACAATGGCAGCTTTGTGAAATAACTTGGTGAGTCTGCGTCAAGAATGTTATTGTGCTCGCCTATGATGGTAAACGAGTCAACGAAAATCGAGTGGTTGTCACCGGAGAACATATTAACGATAGAGAGGAAAATATGTCACTTTTATTGTGAGACGTAAAACTCCTCTAGTTGCAAATGGGCTATGGCGATTAAAGAGATATGGGAAATAAATAGGTAATGAGTAATGATTAAAAAATTAGAGGGTCCTTATGATGTGGTTGGTTACAATGGTTTTTAAGTGCATTTTCTTTTGTCATTGCTATTTTCCCCCTCTACCTCCACCTCAGAAAGGTTACTTTATTGCAGGAATGAACGTCGAGCCTTAGTCAGTTTTACTGAGCCCTATAATGGGCGCCATATGTACATGTAGGGTACATAATTTTATAACCCCATCGATGTTAGGCCGTTAAGAGTCGCAAATAATTAACTGACTCGTCGCATGAAAAACATGTATCCTCCTTTTTCTCTCTCTGATTGCATCTATTATATAATGGTCTTAGTTGATTTGTGTCCATAAAGCCCATTAATTTGTCATCAAGACCTACATTCCTTTGTTTGCATGAGCCTTATTGGGAATCAAGTCCTTAACCCATTAATATGAATTAAGTGATTTGTGTGCGAGACCAGGATGGCTCTCCTGAGCCCAAGTATAAATTCGACCAAATTTTTAGACATGTACACATTATCTCAAACATGAGATTCGTAGCAGCGAGATACTTTACGAGAGACATCATATCATATATACACTTATCATAATTATATTGTTGTATCCTACTTGACACACACACATCGAACCCGTTTACACATTGTTTAGTCATTTGCTAAGATGGACAGACTACTTCATATCCAGGTCCAGAGCAGAGCTCAACCAATAAAATTATCTGAAAGATATACAATTATGAATATAGTTAATTTTTGTATTTTTCATAAACTATTTTTATTTTATTGAAAATCAATTTATATACTTAATCTATAACAAGAAAGCCTTAATAAAGGTCTAAACAGCCATATCATAAAAAAAAAAAAATTCTCTTTAAACCTAGCGATTTTCACCTCCCTTATCCATTCTATGATACTGAATTTTGTTCAAACTCAAGCCACAAATCTTCCAACAACAACCGATAAAATCATCGTCATCATCAATGACAACCTTTGCAACTGAATTCTTATCACACACTCTCAATTTTAGAAACCACCCAAACCGCACTTCTCGCCATTCAAATCCCAACACTATCGTCACTTCCTCAACCCCGCGCAACACCAACAACCGAAGAACAAGAATCAGGGTCAATGAAACAAGGCCAAAACTTGATCAAAATTACGATGAGGCTCTCATTAGGTCATTCAAATCAGCTAAGTACAATCAAGCTCTCCGCCTTCTTAAGCGCATGGTTGGTAGGGGTTATAAACCTGATGTCATTCTCTGCACTAAATTGATTAACGGTTTTTTCAATTCTAAGAAAACCCAGAAAGCTATTCGGGTCATGGAGATTTTGGAAAAGCACGGCCAGGCTGATGTTTTTGCGTATGAAGCACTTTTAAATGGGTACTGTAAAGCTGATAGAGTTGATGCTGCCAATAAGGTACTTGATAGAATGAAAAAGAGAGCTTTTTTATCTGATGTTGTTACTTATAATATTCTCATTGGGAGTCTTTGTGGGAGGGGTAAACTTGATTTGGCTTTAAGGGTTATGGATCAGTTGTTGAAAGATAATTGTAGGCCAAATGTTATAACTTATACTGTTTTGATTAAAGCAACTATTATTGAAGGTGGTATTGATAAGGCTATGAAGCTTTTGGATGAGATGTTGTCGAGAGGGCTTCGACCTGATGTGTCTACTTATAATGTTGTTGTTAAAGGTATGTGTAAGGAAGGGTTGTTGGATAGAGCTTTTGAGTATCTTAGTAGTATAAGTTGTAAGGGCTGTGTTGCTGGTGTGAGTCCTTATAATATTCTGTTGAAGAATCTTTTGAAAGAAGGGAAATGGGAAGCTGGAGAGAGTTTGATGTCTGATATGTTGGATAAAGGTTGTGAGCCGAGTTGTGTGACATACAGCATATTGATTAGTTCGCTTTGTCGTGATGGCAAAATTGTCGAGGCTGAGAATGTGTTGAAGGGTATGAAGAAGAGAGGGTTGGCTCCTAATGCTTATTGTTACAATCCATTGATTTCTGCTATTTGTAAAGAAGGAAAAGTAAATTTGGCTATAGAGTATTTAAATAACATGATATCAGATGGTGGTTTGCCTAGTATTGTTTCCTATAACTTGATCTTGGCTTCTCTGTGTAAGAATGGATATGCTGATGAGGCTTTGAACATCTTTGAGAAGCTCGGTGAAGTGGGTTGTCCTCCAGATGCAATTTCTTATAATACATTGTTTGGTGCATTGTGGAGCAGCGGCGATGAAATTAGAGCGTTGGGGATGATTTTGGATATGTTAAGCAAAGGCATTGATCCTGACAAGGTCACCTATAGTTCACTTATTTCTTACTTGTGCAGAGATGGATTCATGGATCAGGCAATTGAGTTGTTGGTTGACATGATGGAGAGTCACAAGTATCAGCCTGCTGTTATTAATTACAATGATGTTATTTATGGATTGTGCAAGGTACAAAGAATCATAGATGCTATTGAGGTGCTTACTGCTATGAATCAGAGAGGATGCGTGCCAAATGAAAAAACTTACACATTGTTGATTGAAGGGATTGGTTGTGGAGGATGGAAAAATGACGCGATTGAGTTGGCTAGCTTGCTTGTTAATATGGATGCTTTATCGGAAGATTCATTCAAACGTTTGAATCTAACAGTTCCTGTGTTTGATGCGCAAAAGAGCCTGCAGTATTAGAATGAACCAACTTCATGGGCATTAAATTGATTTATACAGGTCTTCTCAATTAAGATTTTTTGTTCAATTCAATTAATGGATACCAACTTATTGCTTGCTACCAATTTGTTTGTTGTTTAAAGGTTTTTGAAGTTCACACCAATATCAAATGAATGGTTGATATGGCTAGGTTTTTGAAGTTCACACCAATAGCAATATAATTGTATTAAGCTAGAATCATTTTACATTACTTATTCAAACCAATGCATTAAACCAAAATGATATCAAGATGTACACAGACACACCTACAAAAAATATACACAAGATAAATACAATTTGAAGGTTGGGTCTTCAAGTGATACATGAGCTTATTCTTTTTAGAACTTGAACTGATGAGAACAACTTTCCTAAGGTTAATAATTTTGTAGCTGTTGTAGAGAATTGGTTCTTCGGATGAAACGATTTTTCTCGTCTAATGGATTATCACAATATAAACTCTACACCATAGCTTATGTGCCATCCAATTAGTTTTACCTCCTAAGAGATTAAACAATTATGAGGACTAGTTAAAATAATGGAAACACCGTGTGTGTGTATGAAGTAAAGTAAAGTATCTCGATGTATCTCGCTGTTACGAGCCTCTGGTTTGAGTGTATATGAAGTAAAGTAAAGTATCTCGATGTATCTCGCTGTTACGAGCCTCTGGTTTGAGAGAATATGTACATGTCTGAAAATTTGGTCGAATTTATACATGGGTTCAGGAGAGCCATCCCGGTCTCGCACACAAATCACTTAATTCATATTAATGGGTCTCAAACAAAAAAGATTAAGGACTTGATTCCCAATAAGCTCATGCAAACAAAGGAATGTAGGTCCTGGTGGTGCGAGAATATTGAATGGCTGCTATCCGATGGCGACTTTGGATCCGAAGGTTCTGTGTCGATTTATTGTTCATGCTTCGCGATCTTCTTTTTGTGTTGTTTTTGTTTTGTCTCACCACCTGCAAAAAACTAAGAACAACAACATGATCGTAGTAAATGGTGTACTCTTTAATTTTTGCTCTATTTTTCCTTATTTTGTAATCTCTATTTATTAGTGTGAAAGATTGTAATAGTTGTAGTTTTGTAATAAATTGAAGTTGTGGTATGTGTTTTGGTGAGTAATTTTACAGGTTGTAATATTCTTGAAAAAAATTCTTAATCTATTGGCAGAAATTATGAAGTTTTGGATATTGAAAAGTTAGTAAATGTGATTGTGAAGATGATAAGGTTTTGTTATCTATGAGGGCTGGAAAAAAACGTGATTACCTTTTGTTAAAAAAGGTTTATCATGTATAGTACAGGAGATAATAATAACAAAACAAATTACTTAAATCTAAATAAGGTCAATGAAGTCATTTAAACAAAACAATTTTCAAGTATAAAATTTTGTGTGTAATGACAATATATGTATTTAGTGTGTGATTGGGTATATATACGGTGGTGGGTGTTAGAAAAATATATTCCTGAAAGAGTCTATGTAAAAATGTGGTAAGGGTATAAGAAAGGTGAGAGCAAAATTATAGAGTTTGTGTATATTGTGGATATGGAAAAGTGTGGATGATTGTTGATTTAAAAATAATCATTAGATATGATCAAATCAATTAAAAAGAAAATAGTAGTCTCATATTTAATTATTGGTTAAAAATTACAAATGATTTTGAAATGGTTTTGAAAAAGAGAAATTGCAAAAAATAGTGATGTCAGAAATTGTATAAGAAATTGCAGAATTGTTGATTGTGTGTGAAAATTTGAGAATTCGTGGGTTTAAAATTAGGGTGAAGAGAGTCTCGTATTTATAAATTTGAAATTAGATTAAAAACATCATAAAAAGGAAATAATCCACACAAAAAAAAGCTCAAAGTTTATGATTTTATTTTAGTCAATAAATTTAAGAATCTGAACTTATTTGTGACCAGATACAAAATAGATTTAAAAAATACTTAAACTGAATAGGATTTTATTTATTTTTTAGATTTTTTTGACTATTTTTTACATAAAATAATAATTTTAACAAATTTTTTTTTAAAATATAATAAATAAAAGAAAACAAAAATAGTCTTTAAATAATTAAAAAAACATGATTATTGTGATTTTGAAAATAATTAAAAATAAAAATAAAGTCAGTAATAAATAAATAGGAAAAATATCCAAAGTGCATCAAGTGAGATTCGAATCCATGATCTTATTATGTTTGAGAGCTTGCTCCTGCAATTTGTTATTTATTTAAAATAGAAAGTCAATTGAAAGTATATGAAGGATAATCAAGTTTTTGCTATTTAAGAAATATAAATAATTTTAAATAAACTATTTTATTTTTTTAAATAGACAAATAAATTGAAAACGAATATTTATAAAACCCAAAATGTTAGTGTAAATAAACCAAAAAATTTATAAAGGCCAAGTTAAAAATAATTTGACTATTAGAAATAGGACGGGCAAATTTAGGATATGACAGTTGTCCCTATTTAATTACTCTTCGATTGAAGCGTGCGAGTATACGAATGTCTCGCACATTCGGATCAAAGGGTTATTAAATAATGGAAGACCCCAAATTTGACCAAAAGATTTGAAAAAGGATACACCGTAAGATAAACCAAAAAGTAGACAGGCAAGGATGATGCAGTTAACTCACCAATGCCTAGAGTAAGAACATAATTGACCTTGATATGACGACGCGGATAACTCGTCAACACCTAGAAAAAGTAATTGCAGATTTCGCATATTTACCACAACATAGAGGGTAAATAACGTGATTTTGAAAATACATAACTTATGTTGCTTCAAGACTAATGCAACAAGTTATATCATAGATTTCGCATATTTACCACAACCTAGGGGGTAAATAACACAAGTTTGATAACTCATTATCGCTTCGAAACTAACACAATGAATTATATCGCAAATTTTCGTACATCTACCATAACCTAGGGATAGATAATACGAGTTTTGAAAAATAACTTACTAACGCTCAGTGACTAACATAGTAAGCTACATCGTAGATTTGTAACATTCATCACAACCTAGGGGATAAACAGATGAAGATGTGCCTCAGAAAATGCAGACTTATTTGCCTAGAGCGCAACTGAAATGTTCGACTTGGATTCAAAGATAGCTTGCCATTATATGACGATAGATCCTGCCCTTAAGATAGTTGCTTAGCATAGGCGCCGAAAGTCCCCAGAAAAAATCGAGGTCGTCGGGTAAGTTGTTAAAGACCTCCTAGAGGCAAATTTTATTTCGGAAGCTCGGTATACATCCTGGATTTCTAATGTAGTGCTTGTGAAAAAGAATAATAGAAAATGGCGCATGTGCATTGGCTATACCGATCTCAATAGGGTATGTCCCAAAGATGCTTATCCCCGGTCCAATATAGATAAATTAGTTGATAATTCTGAAGGTTTTAAATTAATGTCGTTCATGGATGCGTATTCTGGATACAACCAGATCCTCATAGAAAAGAGGGACAAGAAGTACACGGTCTTCATGACCAAGTCGGGCAATTATTATTATAACGTAATGTCCTTCGGTCTGAAGATTGTCGGGGCTACATACAAACAGATGATGAACAAGGTCTTCCGAGGAGAAATAGGAGACATGCTTGAGGTCTACATGGATAACATAATCGCCAAGTGCAAATAAGAGACCGACCATGCTCTCCACCTAAAGAAAGTCTTCGACCATGCAAGGAATGCAGAATGCGATTCAACCCAAAAAAATGCACCTTCAGCATGCGGGCAGGAAAATTCCTCAGTTTCTATTAACAGAGAATTAAAGCCAACCCCGACAAATCTCAGACATTTTCTGAATTTCCAATGCCAAACTCGAAGAAAGAAATTCAAATCCTGGACGAAATGCTCACCTCGTTATCCCGTTTCGTGGCAAAATCTGCCCAACACGTGCTTCCTCTTTTCAAACTCCTCCGTAAATAGGTAGCCTTTGAGTGGACCGAGGAGTGTGAGCACGCCCTCGTCCACCTCAAACAGAAATTATAGCAATCGCCCGTCCTTTCGCAACCAGATAAGGAAGAAATTCTCTACCTCTATCTGGCTGTAGCATCCGAGACCGTGAGCATCGCCCTCATCAGAGAAACACCCAAGGGGTATAAACCTATTTATTTCATGAGAAAGGCCTTACAAGGCCCTAAAGTATAGTATCAGCATATCGAGAAAGTAGACTTAGCGCTTATTAACGCGGCAAGAAGGCTAAGACAATATTTCCTGGCACACACGATTGTAGTATGGGCAGAGCAACCAATAAAAGAACTACTCGGTCGACCAGATATTGCGGATATGATGCTCAAATAGTCATTAGAACTCTATGAGTTTGACATCAGATACGAAAGTAGAAAATCCCTCAAAGCTCGGGTATTGGCCGACTTCATGGCAGAAATAACCTTGTCAACCTCCCCGACAAGCGGAGCGCACAGTTGGACCATCTTCGTCAATGGGGCTTCCAGTTAGACATGGAGCGGGGTGGGCATCATACTGGAGAACAAGTAAGGAATCTTGATTGAAGTCTCCCTCACACTATCTTTTCCGACCTTAAACAACAAGCGGATACGAAGCATTCCTAGCAGAGCTACGCCTGGACAAAAATTTAGGGGCCGAAGAAGTGAAAATCTTCACAGATTTCCAACTCGTTTCATCTCAGGTGCAGGGAGAATATCATGTCAAAAAAGACCATGTCTCCGAATACTGGACTTTGGTCCAAGAAAGAATGAAGAAATTCAAGTTCGTATATGTACGACACTGTTGCACCCCAAAATTTGCCCTCCCATATTCTTCAAGAAATTGCCAAGCCAAGTCATAAAACTCCCCCAAGGGTTGCACAGTCCAACTGTCTCCTATACAGTCAAAACTAGGGTTTGGGTTCTGATCAAGAAAATGAAGTTTTCAAAGGCTCAATCAAGTCTCATATGCTTACAAACATGGTCAAGCATCCTCATATCAAGTTTCAAGGCATTCAGCTCAAGATTGCACA